ATTATGCTAGTAATTCATCAAAGGTATTTATTATGTGTAAAATATAAAAAAATAGAACTAATGGCTGGATACCACCTTAAAGGAAATAAACTATCAATTCTATTAAGTTTAATGTGAAATAAATAAAACGAAAAAAAAAAAGTTATATAAAAAAAAATTTAATTACAGTTGACGTCATAAACGTAATATCTGACTTTATAAACTTAGGATAACTTAAATATAACGTAATAATAAACCACACCTGCCTGCAACCACTTTTTAGTTTTGCGATTTGACCCCGGCCATTGTCATACATCGTTGGATTCGTTACAATGAGTAGATTTAGCTTTGATTTGTAACCAAAATCTCAAAATTCCTTTTAGCAAAATATTTACGTTTTAGGGGCCAAAAGGGCCCAATTTAGAAAATTTTTCCCAAATTCGTGGATTTTTAAATTATTTTTTATATAAATTTATATAACAAATTTATCAATTTTTCAAAAGTTATAGCCATTTAAGGTGTGAAAATAACTCATAAATAGAATATATCGCTTGGATATGACTGTCATAAATATGTCATTTGTAAAATACAAATATATTTGTATTTTACAAATATATTAACCATGCACATTAACTAATGTTTTATATTATTAAGATTCCGTTTATACTTAACATATTTTTGTGTAACATATTATCATAAAAAAGTTATATTTAAGTAAAGTTAAAACATAAATATACTTTCAGCATTTGCAATATTTACAAGGTTTTTTCCGTTAAAACTGATAACAGCTTTTTTCAAATGTTCAGGAAAGGAGCTGTTACTTTTGGAAACTTTTAGTCTATTCCAAGATTCATTAACAAAGCTGTAATGCTTCAACAGCTTGTTCAGATTAGCAGCCTAATCCACGCCCTCTTACTGCACAAAAAGCACCTATATGTTTTATAATAAAATGAATTTTCAATGAAACAGTTATTCCATAGTCTTCAACAAGTGTTCTGTAGTGATCTTCAAAGTTTTTAATATGTGTTTGAAAATTATTATGAAGTTTTTGTTCAAAACTAGACTCAACCAAAGTGTTTAAAATTCTAAGCCCCTCTGCCAATGGCTTTAAATTAATTGGCAATGCACGCATGTACTTATCATAATTTTTAAGGATTTTACGTGATTTTAAGGCATTATTCTGGACCTCTTGAAATGTTTAAAATCATTGATACTTTAGCCACTTCGTTTTCACCACCACATTTCTCTATATGATTATAATTATGATTAACAGCTCCCTCCATTAGGTGTAACTCTGGCGGGAAAAAATAATCTGCCACTAAGTGGTCGCTGGTTTGCGTGTATCAATGGAGGATTAATATTGTTGCAAAATTCTTTAGCATTTTGTTTTATTGCACCTGATTGAGAAAATTTTGTGTACTGCTCCTCTAAAGAACCAAAAGTTCTAAGCTTCCCTTCTTTAAATGGTTGCATTTTTTTCCATTCGCACGGTTGTGTAGCCATAGCACTTGGAGATAAACCACGCATTATTTGACAAAGCTTAAGATCAGCTACAAATGAGTGTTTTATTTTATCTAAATTAAGACAGTTCATTAATATAGAAACAGTGTAGTGACTTTCAGGAACATTCGGAACTAAAGCTAGTAAAAACGAAGCTTTTACAGAACCTTCTTTATATTTTGAATTCTGAGGTTCTTCATATGTACTCATTGTAGTTTTGTCTTTATGATTGTTTTTGTCAAGTTCTAAACCTTCGCACTCACAGTCTGCAGTAGGTTTAAACAAATCTAAAATAAGAAATTTTTTATTTTTAAAAAATGTTGTACCATTTTTTTTTAGTTTTGACTGAATCATAATTCTCATATTTAGAATGAAATCATTTACCTTTAGAAAGCCTCTTCTTCCATCAATACCGAGCTTGACTGTTTGATTGCTTAAGTTCACTTCTTTCATCACAATTAGCAACTTTACAAACTCCTCAATATTGATTCACTTAATAATAGGGATATTTTCCCTTACTTTTAAATTTCCTTTTTTAACATCAAATTCTTGATAATCCGCCTATAATGAATAGCCTATGATTATTAATAGTGCGCATAGTTACGCATTGTTACGCCTATTGTTCGTTTTGTTTATTACGGTTCTGCATTATCTAAAATACACTGTTTCTTAGTTGTTTCTAGACTTTTCTAAGCGCAGTTATATATTCCACGCGGTCCTTCGAGTAAAATCAGCAAGCAAATTGGAGCTGATAAACTTATTTTCAAGAAGAATTGATGTTGTTTATTTTTTTAAATAAAAATTTAAATAATTGTTAGTTTGTTATGTATATATATATATATATATATATATATATATATATATATATATATATATATATATATATATATATATATATATATATATATATATATATATATATATATATATATATATATATATATATATGTATATCTATATGTATTTTTTTCTTAGCAAAAATAATTGAGAATAGAAAAATAAAAAAAATTTCTTCTGGAATTTGTCAAAAGGGTGTTGTGTTATGCTTCATTTTAAGGTATCTAAATATGTATTTTTCATTTTTTAAAATAAGTTAGAACTAAATTGACTGGTAAAATAGTTTTTTTAGTACAATGTTTCTTTTTTAAGAAAACAGTTTTGTCGTTAGTCTTTTTAAAACATTTTAAGCAGTATTTGTTTTATTTTTTAGAGCAGTTAAGAGGAGCTGATCGCTTTTTTAGTAAGTTCAAGTTATTTTCTCATACATAAATTAAGGTTTTCGATTTATTTCAGTCTATTTTATATTTCTCTATATCTACATATATATATTCTCTAAGGAAAAATAAAAAGGAATAAAAAAATTAAGAAAATTTCTTCTGGAATTTGTCAAAAGAGTGTCGTGTTATGCTTCATTTTAAGGTATCTAAATATGTATTTATTAGAAATTTTTTTAAACCAAGTTTAAAAAAGTTGTTAAACCAAGGAAATTGTAGAGGTTTATTTATCAATATATACTATAAATTATATAATAATATTAGAGGGAGTAAGTTAAAAAGCATTTATAAATTTTTAAAAAGAAATAAAAATACTTTTCAATATATATCTGTTTTTTTTGAGGTAGATTTAAAGTTTCAGGTTTTCAAATTTGTAGATCTTTTTAATGTATAAATAGACATTAAGTATTTCTAAGTAGACATTACGTATATATAAAATCTTTTTAAAATTTAATAAGTAATTATTTGTTTAAATAAGTAGTTAATTGTTATAATTTATTAAGATTTAAATTATTAGAAAATTCATGTTTATATATATACATATATATATATATATATATATATAAAGATATATATATACATATATATATATATATATATACATATATATATATATATATATATATATATATATATATATATATATATATATATATATATATATATATATATATATATATATATATATATATATATATATATATATATATATATATATATATATATATATATATATATATATAACTATATATATCCTTGGAGTTGCGGCAGCATAATAGTGTGTTAGGAGAAAAAAATTTATAAACCCGCGTTAATAACCTGTTTTCTATCGTACATAATGCATTAATAATGCATTAATAATGCATTAATAAGTTTTATTACGTGTTTTGTTCAATGTTTTCTCCCAACGCATGAACTATGACGCTGTCGCAATTTTTTTTTTTTTTTTTATTAGAAATAAAATAAGTTTTAATAAGTTTTTGCTGATGTGGTTGCAGGTTTTTCTTAACTTCTATCAAATAAACTTAAGAAACCTGTATTACTTTTGATGAGGGCAAATTAATTTTATTTTGCATTTGTTTGGTTTCTTTATATATATTTGTTTTGAAAATTTTTTTTTTTTAATTTTTCGAGTATGATTTTTTTAGTTATTAAGTTTTTTTATTTTATTTTTAACTTTAGATTAGTAAAAAAAAAGAAATAATTGGTGCTGCTTTGATAAATATGTTTAATGAAAATGATGACATTGAAATGGATGATAGGCTAGATGTAGTTTTGTATTTACAAGATGATGTAAGTGCTATAAGGCGTGTTGAAAATAATCGTAGACGAAATGAAAGAAATAGACTTAGGCGAGATGAAATTAATTGTTTACAAAATGAAAGAAATAGGCTCGATCGAGATAATGTCAATCATCGCCAAAATGAAAGAAATAGGCTATATCGAGATAATGTTAATCGTCGCCAAAATGAAAGAAATAGGCTCGATCGAGATAATGTTAATCGTCGCCAAAATGTAAGAAGAGCTGTTGGACAAGGACGAATGTATTCTATAGCAAGAAGTAATACTATTCCAGATTATAATTATTTAGGAGAAATGAATCAAATTTGTCAGCACTGTGGTGCTAAGAAATTTCCAGATGAAACACATTTTCTATGTTGCCATAATGGTACGGTAGCTTTGCCTCCACTGTTTGATTGTAATGCTAATGCTTATTTTTTAAAACATATTCGAAATTATAATGCCTGCCTTTCTTTTGCTTCTTTTACAGCAAATGTAGTTCAACCAATGAATCATGGGCTTCCATGTTTTAAAATATGTGGCCAGATTTTTCATCGTGTAGGTAATCTTAGGCCAGATCAAGATATTCCACCAATATATTCTCAACTATATATTTATGATCCACTTGCTGCACTAAATTTTAGAATGCAACACTATGCTAATGATCTTTGTTTACGTGATTTAATGTTTCAATTGCAAACTATAATTATGGAACAAAGTCCATTTGCTCTTGCATTTAAAAACATGGCTGAAGTAAAAGATGAAGAAATTCGTAAGGCGGCTATAGAAGGTCGCTCAGCTTCTGTTGTAAAAATGTCTTTACTTGAAGGCGGTGATAGACGTCGTTATAATCTACCTTCACATGATGAAGTTGCAGTTGTATTTGTTGGCGAAGATGGTGCTCCCCCAACTTCCAGGGAAGTTGTTATTTACCCAAGAGGTCATCCTTTAAAAATTGTATCAAGTATGTCAGCCAACTTGGATCCTATGGTTTATCCGCTATTTTTTCCAAGAGATGATGCTGGTTGGCATAATCAATTGGTGCATAACCCTGAGCGTGCCACACTGGTTAGAAATCATGTTACATTATCTCAGTTCTACAGTTATAGACTTTCTGTTGGGCAATTTTTCTGTTCATTATTTTATGGCAAGAAACTATTTCAGCAATATGCTGTAGATGCATATGTAAAAATTGAAGGCCAGCGTCTTGCTTTTATCAGAAATAATCAAAATAAGCTGAGAAGCGAGCAGCACGATGCCTTACATGAACATATTAACAACATTGCCAATGATCGTAATATTAGACCAGGACGAGTAGTAGTTTTGCCATCATCTTATGTAGGAAGTCCTAGAGCTTTAAAAGAAAACTTTGAAGATGCTATGGCAATTATTAAAAAGTATGGTAAACCAGATCTTTTTATAACTTTTACTTGCAACCCAAAATGGCGTGAAATAACAGAAAATTTATATCCGGGTCAGAATGCGAATGATAGACCTGATTTGGTTACTCGAGTATTTAAACTCAAGTTAAATAACCTCCTCAATGATATATTCAAACATGGTGTGTTAGGCAAAGTTGTAACGCATGTTCAGGTTATTGAGTTTCAAAAGCGTGGTTTGCCGCATGCCCACATTTTACTTCATTTAGCAAATGATGATAAACTTGAAACATCACAGGATATCGATAATTTGATTTGTGCAGAAATTCCAGATCCGATAGTTAATTGTAAACTTTATGATATTATCAAAACTTGCATGATTCACGGCCCATGTGGGATACTGAATCCAAATTCTCCCTGCATGAAAGATGGTGTGTGCAGCAAAAAATATCCTAAAGATTTTAATGCCAACACAGTAGCTGTTCACAATGGTTATCCGCGCTATAGGCGTCGTGATAATGGGTTGGTTATCAATATTAAAGGCAACAATGTAGATAACCGTTGGGTGGTACCTTATAATCCTTGGTTATCAAAGAAATATCAAGCCCACATTAATGTTGAAGCTTGCATGTCTGTAAAGGCTGTTAAATATTTGTATAAATACATATACAAAGGGCATGATTGTGCGAATGTTTTGATAAATGAACAGGTTAATCACGATGAAATAAACAATTTCTTAGATTGTCGTTATGTTAGTGCACCTGAGGCACTGTGGCGAATATTTGATTAAATTGATTTAATTGGTACTATTAAAGTAAAGATTTATTTTGGTTGTTTGTTAAAATTTAGTTATAGTTTATTTAAAATTTAAATTCTTTAGTTAATCAAGAGAGATCTAATAAAGGTATTAATTACATTAGTTAGATGAATGTGGCATTTAATATGTATTTTATCGATATTTTAACGTCTAAACATTAAAGTGCTTTTATTGTTTAGACACAGAAGTGAAGAAGCAAATAAGTCAGTGTTTTTGCTATTAGATATTTGTTAATAGGAATTTGTTTATTTGTACTGCCACTGGAATTTTAAAAAATCAAGTTCTTTAGCTTTTTTTTATACTTTCTTTTAGGGGAGCTGGAACAAAAACTAAGTATAAATTATGATTGGTTTAGTTTAATAAATAAAGCATTAATATTTAGAAGATTTAAAGTTTACTTTAGTTTATAGTTTTGGTTTAGTTTATAGTTTTGTTTTTAGCTTTAGTTATTTTTTTCTTACTTTAGACAACTTTATGGATGAAATGAGGGGGATGGGTAAAACAATTATTTAGATATGTATATATTTATATGTTAACATTATTTTATCGATTATTATATATTTATTTAAGTATATATTTGTCTTTAGTGTCAGGTGGAAGTATAGCTGGTAGGACTGTGTTTTATATTTTATATATTTTGTATGGAGAAATATATGCAATAAGTGAAAAAATTAATTAATAAATATGACACTTTTGAACTGGTTGCATTATTGCCCTATATATTTATTAAAATACAAAATATTGCATGTTTAACCCTTATTAATTTGCTGTTTTTTTTTTTTTTTTTTTTTTTTTTTTTAGCATTTTCTGTTTCGAATGAAAATGGTGAGGTTATGCTAAATTTTTTTTTTTTAATAATTGCAAATGTATAATTTTTATTATACTCTTCTATTTGTAACTTTAGATTCCTTATCATTCGAAGAATACCAAAATTATCGCTCCCAACACCCGGGACCTCTCTCAGAGAGGTTCTTCAATAAATGGAAATGTAATAGCGGTATGGATGAGTCCTCCTTTAAATGGAGGGCTCATCCATACCGGGGTGTTGGGAGACACCGAAGAAAAAACAGCAACCAAAAGGTTGTAAATGTCTTCTATCAGTAGAGATATTTATGACTTTTTAGTTGCTGCTTTTTCTTTGGGTTTTTTTTTTTTTTTTAATTTTGTAATTTTTTGTTTCGGTGTTTTTTTTTTATTATAATTTTGTAATTTTTTTTTTTAATATATTACGTTGTATATTTGATATGTTTTAATCTTTTTTAATAAAATTTTCAATTGTTTTCTCACCAATTAAACCTGACTTCAAATTTAAAGCCCTCTTAAATACCCCTCCCTAAATTCTAAAGTCGAAAGTTGAATTGATTCATTATCCAATTATCATAATATAATGATGCTGCATTCTTTTGTTAAAAACAATTATTTGGTACTGCTTTTAAAATTTACCAAAACCCAAGGCAATATATTTAGCTATATAAATACAATTTATTTATCTCGATTCTATTCTTTATGTTTATAGTTTGGCTCCTTAAAGCATTTTATGTTTTGCTTTTTTTTTATGAATATTTTAAATCCGTTGTGATGTCTTTTAAATTAAACTAAAGTTTACTAAAAGCATAAAAATTACGTTTTTGAACAACACTAAAAAGAACAGCTGCATCCATACAGCAACTGCTGCAGTATCACAATAGGTTACCAAAAGCAGGTATACTGTTTTCCAGTTGTTGTTTTTTTTTTTTCCATATATAATATGAAATATTCATAATACTATAGTACGATTGTTTATATCTCATTCATTTTTTTTTTCTTTATCTTTAAGTGTTAATAATTTTATTCTTTGAATGATTTTAGTGAAACAAGTCGGCTTTTCATTAAAGATATTGGTTTTAAAATTAAACATCATTGGCAAAATGCTTACAAAATTAGGTAGTTTTTAAAAATCTGTTTTCTATTTAATACACTTTTTTTTAAATATACTTTTTTAATATACTTTTCTATAACAATTCTACTAATATGGAATCACGTAGCTTTTTAAATATGTTTAATTGTCGTCCCTATCGGTAATAAATATTTTAAATTATTTGATATGGTTTTCTTTACAATAGGCTATGCTTGGCTCCTCGGTGCTGTAAATGGTGGCTTCAACTTTGTTTTTTTTTAAGAAAAATGTGTTTTATATATGCTTCTGTTTTAAAATATTTTTGTTACATATTTAACTATATATCATGTAAATAAATTTCTTTTAAAGATAAGTAAACTTGATACTTGCTTTTTTACGGATTTTCAAAAAGTGAACAAAGGTTTAAATATATTTTTTAACTGTCTTTTATGATTTTATCAATTTTATTAAAGCTGAATAATTACTTCAAAAATATTGAGTAAAATCCAATTGCTTTTATTATTAACCTGATCTATACAAAAATTAATGAAATAAAACTAATAATCTAACGCCAAGTTAAGGCAAAATGTATTTTATAAAATTAGTATAAATATGGATTGGATGTATGCTGAAATAAATATGTTGATACACGTTAGCTATTATAGTAAATCCATATATTCCTTTGTTTTTTTATAAACAAGTTTCTGCTGGATTACTAATTAAAAAAAAGGTTGGTTTAAATAATAATCTTTATCATAATATATAGGATCCGTATGCAGGGTAAGCCCTTTTCGGAATTGCGATATATTTTTCAACTTATAGTTTTTCCGGATATCCAACTTCTATGCCTACAAGTTTGGGTGTAATATTTTAGAGGTTTTAAAAATATTTTAAAAATATATTAATAACATTTAAAAGGTCTAGGTGCGATAGTGACATGTTTTGAAGCTCTTCACTCAGTAAAATGAAAAGTTTAAAAAATAAAGAAACGACTCAGCTTAAAGCAAAATTAAGAGTAGAATATATTCCCAATATTTACCTAAACAATTTTACGGAATTTGAAAATTTGACATCGATTTTCTGTGCATATAATTTAAGTCTTTTTATGGTTAACTTTATCTTTAATGAAGCTAAGAGTTCTCTTAAACTAAGAAGCCAAGAAAAATAAAAGTGAGCTCAACTAAAAAAAAGTATAAATAAATTTATATTTCATTAGAGAAAGTAAATAAAGATCAAATTGTTAATAATGATTTATTTACTACTAACCCGTATTACGGGTTGCTTACAGCTAGTCAATTATAAATAAACCTTCAAGTGCACTACCAATTACCGGAAGTGCTGTTTGTAGGTTTGCTAGTATGCAAGTTTTCCTTTCAACTGATGTTCTATTAAAAAAAACATATACATTTAGGCTAAGATATACTTCAAATCGTTCTTACCTGAGTTCTTTTTAAAGAACTTTCTTTACAAAGAAAGTCTTGATTGAATCCTTAATAAATCAATCAAGGTGATCTGTTTAGGTTTATTTTCTAAGGTTCCTACTGATATTTGTAAAGGTTTTGCACCTGTAGCAAGTTTAATTCTTTTTGATCCTTATTCATATGATTTTTCTGAGATAACTTGAGAAGCAATGTGATCCTTAACTTTAGCTGAGGCTTGAAGTTTTTTTAACACTTTTACAGCTAACGTTTTATTTCCACATTTTCTTTCCCTTCCCAATGTTTGAAAGACAAGATTTACATATTTTTTCATGGGGTGCACGCAACTTGGAAAACTTACTATTTCTTCTTGCTCGAGTTCTTCCACGTAAACTGGTTAGTTTGCATATTTTACAGTAACAACTAGTAGAATTTCTGGTTAAAGGTGTAACAACGTTTTTAGTCCAGTCTATCACTAAATCCGGCAAGTAGTTTTTTCTATGTATATTATTTCTACATTTATCATATATGCCGAGTGGATTTTTTGTATCAGTGCAATCTAAATCAAAAGTGGACACTTTCTCTTTTATTGCTTGCTTATTTAATAATCTTGATGTTTTGTGGGCGCAAAAGTAACAAACCTTTTTTCGGTTTGTGTCATGATCACACTTTTTTTGTGGATGGGACATAATAAGTATTTTTATTTATCTACAAAGAAAAACAAATATATATGCATAAATGTGTATATATATATATATATATATATATATATATATATATATATATATATATATATATATATATATATATATATATGTATATATATATATATATATATATATATATATATATATATATATATATATATATATATATATATATATATATCTTTATATATATATATATATATATATATATATATATATATATATATATATATATATATATATATATATATATATATATATATATACATAAATTACCATGAAAATATCAAGTTTTCATGTTAATTTTTTTCCCCTTGAATTTTGTGGGAAAATTCCAAAAGTGGGCCCTTTTAGCCCCTAAAACGTAAATATTTTGCTAAAAGGAATTTTATGATTTTGGTGACATATCAAACCAAATTCTGCCAGTTGTAACGAATCCAATGATGTATGACAATGGCCGGGGTCAAATCGCAAAACTAAAAAGTGATTGCAGGCAGGTGTGAAACTAAATAGAAAAGTCACAAAAAATGAGTGAAACGCGTTTTTTTTTAACAGAAATTACAGTTTGTAAATTAATATTAGTTACTTTTGTAATACCTATAAATAAACAAAATGAACCGAATAAAAACTATATATTAAAAATAATTTCATAAAAATTTCTCTAAATAAAAACATAACTATACAAATAAACAATATATATATATATATATATATATATACATTTATATAAAAATATTTATCGTTTTTCGATAAATATTTTTATATAAATATATTTTTTGCATATATTGATTTTGTATTTATCGTTTTCTTATCTTTCGTATCGTTTTATCAGTTTAAACCATATCTTTCAGAACTTTAACAAAAAATTTTTTTTTCGCATAAAAAGTATAAAAATTCACTAACACTATAAAGTAATATTTTTTTATAAAATTTTTGACATTCAAAAAAATAATAAAAAATAAAAAAATGGAT